GTCTCTAGGTGCCACATCTACACATATTTTAAGTACCTCTAGGGGTGGCGCCTCCACCACTTCCCTGGGTAGCTCGTTCCAATGCTTTACAGCCCTTTCACTAATATCCAATCTAAACCTCTGGCAAAGAGAAGGCCAAGTCCATTCAACTTTGCTCCTTGTGGGCTCAGGTTATCAAAATTGATATTGACTACCACCTGCCATCAAGGTACCTGTCAGTGCTCACGCTGAGTGTGCACAGAGGCAGGTGGTGTCTGTTCAGCAAGGGCAGTTTCTGTTGGAAATGCACGGTCTTTCAAGGATGTAACATTTTTGGTGTTTCTCTTAGCAAGGGGCACCTCATCATCTCAGCAAATCCCAGCAGAAGGGAGCTCACATGACTGATCCTCTCTGCAAAGGGAAGGGCAGAACCACACTAGGAAACAAAAGAGCTTGGGATTTTCACATAGAAATGCAGTTCCTGATTCCAGTGTGCTCAAAAGGCTGTCCAGGCAATGGAGGGTGACGTGTCCCCGAGCCAGTGTTTTCAGCTGGTGCCTCACTGCTGGTGGTGCCCGGGTGTGTGTGTGTTCCTGCTTGGCTCCCTTAGCCTCTCACCAATGTCACATGTGTAGCTCTAGCTAGAAAGTGGGTGGAAATGGAAACAAACATCAGTGGCATAGTGAATCCAGCCAAAATTAAATACAGTACAGGCACAGACTGCAATTACTTGACGTTCATCTTACAGTTGGGTTTGCTCACCTCTCCTTTCTGTGAGAACACCAAAATCATGTTTCTCCTGTGGGAGCACATGGAGACGTGGGGAGTGGATACATGTACAATAGTGCAACAATCCCTTCCCCCCAATAATTCTTGGCTTTGGATTTTAGATAGACCACAAACCCTTAGCTTATTACAAATAATCCTGATCACTCCCGTAATGATACACTACATTATATACTCTCCTAAATTTAATCATTCAATATCTCACTTCCTTCCCTGTAGGCATGTACTATTATATTTTACACATGGCTTCCAGCTGCTTTTCATTGTGGCCTTCAAATCATATTTCAGTACAGTGCGATCTAAGACCAGTCACTTTATCATTTAAAGTCAACTTCCATCACAGTCATTTTCTTGACTGGTGAATTTGTTTCAGAAAGATAAGTTTGTCTGTGAGGAGAAAGTCTACCTGAATGAACCTTTATGAAGCAGCATCTGCCAGAGATATTTTGTTCTGAAATGCTGAAAGGCAGCCATGCCTATCTGTAGAGTTTAAGAATTAAATCTCTTGAAAGAATGAAAAGAATAAATCCTCTGGGCATGGAAGGAAATCTGTATCTTCGCATTTGATTTGAAAGTAGATGAAAAATCGGGAAGGAGAAGGGAAGTCAGCTCCAGATGGTGCTGGCTGTGGAGGAGGAGGAGGCTGCCCCACCTGTGGCTGGGGAGCAGCGGGGAAGGGCATGTGGGATGGAAATGGGAGTGGGGAAGGGGGCTGTGGGACATCTATGCCACAAAGTGCACCCCTCTGAGCCCAGCAGCAGCTTTCCTGGGAAAAGGCAAGCTGAGTGGAGCCATTGTTGTTATCCCTTATCTCAGAAGCCCATCAAGTGCATGGTGCTTTGTGTAGGTCCAGCCACCACTGAGGGAAATGCACCCTGTGCAAGGAGGATCAGGGATGTTTCCTTCTTCTGCAGAGGCAGAGCAGCACTGACCTGAAACCCAAAGAGATGTGGCAGGGTGTGCACAGCAGTGTCTGAAGCTGCTGGAAATTTTACCTGCAGATGTAGGAGCCTAATAATGACCCAAGATCTGAAAATGTGGAACTCCCGGAATGGTCTGTTTCATTTCCTCTGTGAGGCTGTGGCATGCAGAGCCAGACATGAAGTAAGCCAATCACTCAAACTGGCCAGGATGCTCATCAGTCAAATGTAGTTTAAAGCAAATATTTAACATAAAGGTAATTTAGACCTCATATTGTACCGTGCGCTCAGCAGTTGATCTGGTTTGCAGAGAAGAGTATTCTCTTTTGTGCTAAATAGCCTGTCCTGTCAGAAGGAATTGCAAAACTGACCACAGCCCAGATCTGAAGGACACCCTGTGCATTTATCCTTCTCTCTGTATATGGCTAGAGTTCTATTGCTAAAAAATATAGTGTGGCTGAAATCCTTTGTTAATGCTACTGGCAATCCAGAGGAAACCCCCAGAAGTTAGTAAAACAATGAAATTTATCTGTTATAAGAGCAGATTTCGTTTTTTTCATTACCTAAGATAACAGGAGGTGAAATAAAATACAGCCTTTTTGTACTATTTTACACTGATAACACCCAGGTTTTGCATTTTGCCTTTTGGAGAAGGTGGAGAGGTCACTCTGGAAAAGGAAGGGTTAATTGAAATTATTCTTCCCTCCCGCACTCAGCCCTCTCTTTGGTTGATTGCTTTATAGATGCTGTAGGCATCTCTTCATCTCCTTCAAATTAAACATTTTACTGCTGCTGATCCCGTATTGTTGGATTTTTTTCATCATTATATTTGATTGGAAGTCTTGTAACATTTTTCAAGCTGGATCATTTCTCATGCTATTTGTCAACTGAAAAGGGAAAAAAAAGCTCCCTACCAACTCCAACAGGAATGAACTGAGTAATTTGCACCATTTCTGGATGCGTTTCTATCTCTGTTAGATGCTACTTGAATCCAGCTTTGATTAGCAATGCTACTTGCAGCTTTCTGTGTGACGCTCTCTGTAAGTTCCCTGGCAGTTTGTTTGTGGAGTTAAATCCTTTGGATTTTGGCTGCTCTGGGCCTTACTTTGTCAGGGGATAGGACCAGAAGCCACAACAGGGGAGACTAGGTAGGGTCTGTGTGACAAATTTATGGGGCTTGGTCCCTGGCTAGAGCCAGCGATCCTGGCTCTGCTGCTCTCAGTGCTCCCTGCTGACGTAGGTACGGATCCCACCCTCATCTGTAACCCTCTATTTGGAAACGTCAGCCCTTCTCTTTGAAAGCAATCCATGGACACAAAAGAAATCCTCAAAGAGCAGCTGAGCGATTCCATTCATTGGAACATTATGCTCTTTTATTGCAAGAGATGTAATAAAACATAAACCAGATTATCTGTCATTTCCATTTGAGCTCCCCCTTTTCCCCCGCTCCTTGGTTAGCCATTTCAGCGGCACCCTCAGTATTTACGTGCTCGGGAGGAAAATGTTCACGTTGGCACCGAAACAAGTTTGCGGTGTTTCTGCCCCGCCTCAGCTCTCACCCGCGGGTGGCGAGTCCTGTGCTGGCACCTGCTCTTGGCTGTCCGTGTGGAGCTGCTCTTTATTGGGGTGTTCTGCCACTGTCCTGGCACGGCTGTGCCCGTGGGGACAGCGGGCAGCGCTGCCAGCAGCAGGATGTGCAGCTGCGTCCCTGCAGCGCCAGCCCTGCTCACGCCCGCTGCTCGCCGGGGCACCGGGACGTGGTGCCGGGTCCCTCTCCGTGCCCAGGGAGCAGAGCCCTGGCCAGCTGCAGCCCCGGGCCCGGCACAGCATCCCCGGCAGGCTCAGCTCTGCGCCTGGGCACTGCGATTGATTCCCAAAAGCTGTGACTGGAGATGGCTGATGTTACAAATTGTTATGGCAGGAACGTTTGATGGAGGACGTGAATAAAGGGCTCTTCGGCACAGAGCCTTTTCATTTATTTGCATAACAGGCTGATATTCCACAGTGGACTTCCCTCTTGCGGTAATAACTTGACTAGTGTAGTATTTTACTGGGGGCTCGGTGTGTGTGTAAAATTTTACTGCAAGTTCTCAGCACATTTCCGTTATTTATCTTCGGTTTTGTTTTATTTTTTCTTTAGAGAGCTTTAATGTAGGGTTGATTCTCTGGATGTTGCAGTTTGCAACAAAGACGTTTTCTTCTTGGATAAAGAGCCAGAATTCCATCTTACTTGTGGAAGAAAATAGTTATCCATATTGATTTTGTTAGCTTTGAGTGTCAAGCTCTAATAATTATTTCCCTGCATCTGAAGAAACCTCTGGGCAAATACAGCCCTCAATCCTGTAGGGGATTTTTTCTGTTAATCTCCCTTGTATAGATTTGGTTTTAAAGAAAGTGTGTGGAGCTCCTCTGTGTTTTGAACAATTCAGAGCAGGTATTTTTTCCCCTGGAATAAGGGCTGCACCAGGCCCTTTCATTTTAAGTGGCTGTTAGGAAGATTAAGAGCTGCATATGCTTTCTTTAAACTTGCCGAAAAGGAGATACTGTGGGTGAAAATCTGTTACAAAACTGCAAAGTGTGTTTGCCCAGAGGGTGTTTCAGAATGGAGGACTATTATTATTTGAACTCAGAACTCCTCAACTAGTGAAATTACTATAGAGAAGGTAATACAGAGAAATCTGTTCAGGAGACACATTAAAGCCACCTGTGTCAAGCAACTGAGCTGACTATGCTGTCTCTCTTGAGAGAAGGGAAATCTTAACAAATCTCTGCACTTCTACTATTTTTTTTTCTTCCATAAAGTAGCTGTGATGGATTTTAATGCAAAATCATTATTCATAAAGTAGCACCTGACGATCCCACATGTGTCTAGGCCTTTGTGGTACTTGAAATCTTGAAGAAATTATCAAAGTATCTAGCCTGAAAAGATGAGAGGAAACAAGGATGGGGAGAAGAGGAAGAAAGCAGAATGACTTTTCTGAGATGGGACATCATGACAATGAGACTGTAATACCTTTTGACCTAATTTTTATTTTGGCTATTTTAGATTTCTTTTTATTACTTATATTTTGTATTCCTTACTTATTTTCTGGGTCCTTATTTTATATCGTTTGCCTTTTATATCACTTCTTTCAGTCTGTAGTTGTACAGACAGGTGTAGCTGTCTTACAGGTGAGAAGGGCAGTGGAAATGCATATTAATTGTACTTTTCTTGACCAAAACAAAGTAGGTCCTGTGTACAGACCTGTACCAGTGCCCTTATGTCAAGCACCGAGGGGGTCAGCATGTGAAGTGTGTGTCTGTTTGATCTTATAGGTGCTGCACAGACAGCAGTCCCAGCCTGCCAAGGAGAATTCCCCACCTAGAGAAGAGGCTCCTCCTCCACCTGCTGAGGACAGTTGTGCCAAAAAGCCAAGATCCCGTACCAAGATCTCCTTGGAAGCTCTAGGTATCCTTCAAAGCTTTATTCACGACGTGGGTCTCTACCCCGATCAGGAAGCCATCCACACCCTCTCTGCTCAGCTGGATCTCCCCAAACACACCATCATCAAATTCTTCCAGAACCAGCGTTACCACGTAAAGCACCACGGGAAGCTAAAAGAGCACCTGGGAACGGTGGTTGACGTGGCAGAGTACAAGGATGAGGAGCTGCTGACGGAGTCGGAGGAGAACGACAGTGAGGAAGGCTCCGAGGAAATGTACAAAGTGGAGGCTGAGGAGGAGAATCCCGACAAAAGCAAGGCGGCTCCAGCAGACATCGACCAGAGATAATGTGAGATAGGAGTGCAGAAAGCAATACATTGATCCAAGGATTTTCTGGTTTTACTTTTGATTTTTTTCCTCGTTTTACTTTTTGTTTGTTTGTTTCCGTTGCGCATGATCCATGTGCAGACCGAATGAATTCAGCATTGCCCGATCAGACACTCGAGTGTTACACTTCCTACATCTGACTGAAGCAATCGTTGTAGTCACATAGGATTATGCCTTCATCAATCTTGCACTTATGAAAGGGACAGCTAGCAAGTAAATGGGAAGAAAAAGTCCTATGAAATCAGTGAAGGGAAATTTACAACTTTGTGTGTGTATATATATATTTACGTAATATATATATATATATATTAAATTGCATGGGACGGAACTTTGCAACCTGAAAGTATAGACTGTGAAATGAGTTCTTTAAAGATGAGACTTGTTTATGTTTTAAAACCACTTCACAATGAGTTGCTTTGGCTTTTTGATAAACTGCCGCCTGCTCTCAGGGTGTGGTGACTATTTTTGAATTCCTATTTATTTTCTATGTTTATCCCTGATTTTTTTTTTTTCATTATTATATGGCTTCCTATCTGGCAACTTGATGGGTAATTTTTGAGGTATTTAAAGACGTAAATCAACACTGCCAAAAAAAGAAAAGAGGAAAAAAAAGAGAGAAAATAGAAAAACAAATCAGGGCACCTTAAAAAGAAAACTAGTAAGTTAAAAGTACTTTGAACACAATGCACACTTAAAAGGATACAGCATGTTCCACTCTCCAGATAGTCCTTCCTGTAGTGAACAGATGAGTTTTTTTGGGATTCAGAATGACTAAAGCTGAAATGCAGTGCATAGAAGACTTGTCCATTAACGAGGTCTTTATAGAAAGAGAAAAAAGATAAATGTGTTGAGATTTGATGTATGGAATTCATACTATCAACCACATTTTACCGTGGATTTTATTTACCTGTTCTCTGTTTCAGATCTTAAAATTTGTAAGCTTCCTTCTTGTTGTTGCTTTTTGTTTATACTGAAGTGAAACACACACACGCACAGACACACATGTAAAGTTACATTGCGACACAGAACGCCACAATCCCGAGAATCCTGGCCAGGTCACTTGCTGACAGCCGAGGGTTCGCGTTGCTGCCCTGCCTCGCGTCCCGGTTCCGTGCCAGTGCCATGAAGTGTTTTCAGCCGCAGGGCCCCGTCCCTGCTCGCCCCGGCGGGCCCTGCACTGCTCGGGTCCGCAGAGCCGGGCAGCGGCTACAGAGCAGAGCCTGTCCCGAGCCACTCTTGGATGGCCCGAGCGCAAAGCTGCGATCTGCCATAGCATCCACCCGCTCTGAGGGAGGCACCCTGTCGAGAGAGACGCCAAGTAGCATTTACTTTTCGCTTCCGTGCAATGATTTCCGAGACAAAGACCTCACCTTGCAGCTGGATTGATTTCAGACGCCTGTAAACTGCAGCCATAACGGTACCAACGAGGCTTCTGGCTTTTTTCTTCCTTTTTTCACATGGGCTTTTCATGTAATCTTGACAAAGACCTCATGCAATATCACTTTGAAAGTTACTTTCTGTTTACTACACCAGGCAATGTAATATAACTGTTAATACTATTTATATATTTGAAAGGTATAAAAGGTAGGAGTTAAAAACGAAAAACAAACCTCTACGTGTAGATATTTACTCAGAACAGACAATATACAGGGAGAAGACGTTGCAATACAAGCTAATTCTAGCTGCTCAGTAACCTCTGGAGTTTTTATGAGATTTTTTCAGAGCTAATGTTTGAAACACGAGTATCTCTGCATAAATTTCATATACCTTTGCAAAATTATGGTGGGTTGCTTACTTATGCCCCTTTTGCTCTTCATCCTTTAGTTCTGTAGTATGCTGCAGCTTTAATCAGAATTTCGATGGTTGCTGCTTTATGTTTCTCTCAGAGCTACGCTTTCAAAACTGTCTTCTTATCCTGTAGCTGAAATCACTCCATACATTTGAAAGGAAACTGAATTTTGCCGAGCTATGTAAGTTGTTCATCTGATGATGGCATCGACATTTGGTATCTTTTACACTTCAACCAAAAATTTTATTAGGTATTTTTTCAATGCTGAGTCTTGCCTTTTTATTTTTAATTTCACTGCCAATTTTGCAGTGGTTCTAAGTGAATCTGTGGGCATTTTAGCCTGTGGTCTTGCCAGAACTTTGCGAATTACAATGCATATATGTCTATTTATTCAATATCCATCATATAATATCTATTTGGAGAAAGAAACTTTTCTTGTAGTGCCTCTTAACAAAGCACAATTTTCCGCCTTTTTTGTGAAATAAAAAATAAAAAAAACTAATTGTGTTTTATTGCGGTATCAACAATGTGAATAAGGATTAACATATTGTAAATGTTCATTTTTCCATGTAAATCAACTTTATCTTCGTTATCACTAAGTGATAATTAATTTTTAACTTATGTGCATTGTTAGGCTGTTAGAATTTTTTGGTTGTTGAAATAAAACGCATTCAATAAATATGACTTAATTTGTCAAGTAATTTACTGGGCCTTTTTTCTTTTCTCCTGAGTTAAAGTGGAACAAGGTCTGCAAGATGGAGGGGGCGTATTTTTGCCTGTTGAAAAAAGGTTTGATCAGCGTTACTGGGTCTTGAAAACCTGCGTAAGTGCCCTGGAGCTGGCACAGGTGACAAATGTGTGCGACCAGGACTAACCTGTTGTGTTAGTGGCTTTCTGTGCACTCGTAGGTGCCTGCCCAGGGTGTTTCTGGTGGGGTCAGGAGGAGGGTGGGGGTGCCTTCAGCCCGCCGGAGAACGTACTCAAAACACACACATAAAGATCCACTTCCAGTCTGCTGTCTTCTTTCACTGGTAGATTTTTTTCTGTTTATAATTAAAAAGCCACAAATGACTGCGTGTCAGGAAACTTTTGGAGCACACATGTCCATGGTTAATGGACATAATAAAAGGCTTTATTATATTTATAGCAGGGCATCCTACTGAGTGCGTAGAGGAATGCCGGAAGGATTGATGTCTCTGAGAAATGTGTGAAATGTTTTTGGGAAGAATACAGATAAATGGAAAAAATTGCTAAAAATTCTTAAGCTAACAAAGTGGTAAGTATCTGGATTCAATCCTAGCAGACAAATCATATACTGCAAGTCAAGACTTCAGTTGTCCAGGAATTGAGGTAGGGCAATTTTTAAAGGCATTTTTTCTTTTTTCTGTAGTTCCAATAGAGTAGTTCTTCCCTTTTTGGTGCCTTATTTATATCCTATATAAAATATCTGTGTGCTCTCTTGAGGAAAAAAAGAAGAGGGGGTTTGAGAATAACCACATCTTTGTGTACCCAGCCACCTGCGTGCCCCTTGTATTTAATCTGAGACCAGGTAAAACCAGGCATCTTTGTGTGTGCTCGGGGAACGTGCAGGCACCTGAAGCTGTGCACAGCGGCCTTTGTGGAGTGCTGTTCGCCGGGGTGCACAGCTGCCGTCCCTGCACTCACCTCCCAGGGCTCCTGGGCTGCCTGTGCCCTTCCCACGGGAGCGCTGGGCTGGCACAGCCAGATTGGTGCCTGGCTCTGCTGCCGCTGCTCTGAACTCTGGGCAGTCTTTGCCTGGGAGGTGGCCCAAGGCTGGGGCTCCGCTGGCCTTCACGGGCACGGGAGGTGGCAGAGGGCACAAACTGGCCTTGAAAACTGCAGCTGGTGGTGTTGCACTGGGTGTGGTGGTGGACTGTCCTTTCTGCCTGCCAGTAGGACAAGAAACTAAAGGAGAAGCAGCTCTCACTTCACTGGAAGAGAATTTTATACATCAGCCCTGTGTGTGTGTGTGTAGCTAAATAATATTTAGAGAAAGACACACTCATACACAAATATTTTAATTGGGGGGAAAATTCCTATAAACATATGGGTTCTTCTTCCAAACCGTAAAAAAAAAAAAAAATTAATAGCTGCTATAGCAGAAATATTTCTATTAATGCTTCGACTCCTCTATACTTTACATCCTGCTGCTCCTATTTGTTGTTCGTGTTTTAGTCATCCAGACATATGTATTTCCAATTTCAAACCTGTGTCAGTGAAAAATAAACATATTAAGATTAGTTTAAAATGTCTTAAGATGATGAACATACTGACTACTGTCTCAAGTTCATTGTTGCTTAGATAAAAGTATCCACTCAATCTCTTTCCACTTACTTAATGACCAATTATTTGCTCTAGCCTAAATGGATTAAAATCCCTCAATGATGAAATTTTGTTTCTATCCTGAACCTGTTAAACATAGAGAGATAAAAGCTGGATACATTTGACAGCGAGCAAATGGCATCTTAAAATCATAAACGAATCATTACAAAAAATCTCCACTTACAATATAAAGTGCAGTGATTAATTAAAGATGCAGTTTTAACTTATTTATAGCCATTAAAAAAACATACTGGTTTTAACACAAAATAACACAAGCCAAGTCATCCAGGGGAGAGACACTGGCAGCCTGAGACTTGGGGAGCAGGCAATGTGGCAAAGCCAACGGGGGACAGCAACTGCAGGCCACACCCTTGAAACCTTTGGGAAAGTTCACGGAAATGAGGATGGAAAGAGGTGGCTCTGGCATCCCTGCCTAGACCCCCTTGTTTGTTGCTCGCGTACAGACAGTGCAGGAGTGTGAGCCCCATCTCTGGGATGGCAGGAACCTGTGTGCTCCCTCCTTGGCAGCGGTGCGGGCGGTGGGGACCTTGCCAACGGCACAGCCTGCTCGGGTGAGTCAGCCCTACCTCAGGCAAAGAGAGGATTCGGGTGAGGGAGAGGCAGCAGCAGTTCAAGTGCAGATTTCTGCAGGCTCTCCCATCCTTCCAAAGTTTTTGGTTGTTCTTGGGGAACGCTGGTCCGGCTGGACTGGGAGGGGTGGCTCACTAGAGCCAGGGGGAAGGAAGGTGGTGGGAGGAAAAGTGAAGTTCACCTGCTGAGCTGTGAGTTGTGCCTGCTGCTCCCTGGCAGGTGTGTCTTTGGAAGGCTCTCCTGGGCACTCCCCTCTGCCAGGGTCATGGACACACAGCAGGAACACGACGCTCCAGCCCTGTGACTGCTGGCTCGCTGCAAGGCAGCGCGTGCTCAAGGCAAGAGTCATCCCTCTGTCCCATGGTACAGTTTCAGGAGCTACAGCTGGTTCCTCCTAAGAGAAGTGGTGTAATTTACCCTTCAGAAGGGATCTGGTCTTGATTTGAAGACCTCAGGAGCTGGAAAATCACTGTTGCCCTCAGTAGTTTGTTTGAATGGTGG